ATGGCTTCGGGATCACCTTCATCAGCCATGAGTCAGTCAGTCAGTCAGGAGGGGGGATGAGCAGGGAGGCTCTGGAGCTTCCGCTGGTGCCTTCTCCCAGCCGGTCGCCCCTGCGCTCCGCGGGAGGCTCTCGTCAAAGTGCGCGTGGACTGGCTCGATGTGCGCCGGGAAGGACGCTCCGGCGATCTGCCGCTGGCATGTGGTGGCGATCGTCTTCCTCTTCCTCCTCCTCCTCCTCCTCCTCCTCCTCTCCTCCTCCTCCTCCTCCTCCTCCCCCTCCTCTCCTCCTACTCTCGGGGAAACGTAAGACTCGAGTAAGCCAGAACTCGAGTTGGCCGACTTTTCTTTTGACGAGCGCGTCATGGGTTTTGACGGTCCCGTTTTCGTGGGATTTCTGCAACGAGAGCCCGCGTCGAATTTCAGATTGGGTCTCGTCATTATTATGATGGTCCCCGTCAGGCCAACCCGAGTCCCCCGTACACGAGTCTTACGTCTACCCGATACTCCTCCTGGTTCTTGTCCTACGCCTCTCCTCCTACTCTGTTTCCTCCTCTTCCTCCTCCTCCTCGTCCTCGTCCTCCTCCTCCTCCTCCTCTTCCTCCCGCTCCTCCTCCTCCTCCTTCTGCTCCTCCTCGTCCTCCTACTCATCGTGATTATCATCCTACTCTTCTCCTCTTACTCTTCTCCTCTTCTTCTCCTCCTTCTCCTCCTCCTCCTCTTCCTCCTCATCCTCCTGCTCCTACTCCTCCTACTCCTCCTGCTCCTACTCAAACTCCTCCTGCTCCTCCTCATCCTCCTCTTCCTCCTCATCCTCATCCTACTCCTCAATGAGGTCCACCTTCAACGAGGGGATCCACGATTCGTTGTCGAGTTGGGGATGCGGGATACAAGGAGCGAGAGCGGAGGACCACACCACCAGCAGGACCCTCCCTAGCGCCTCGCGTTGGTGGTGGTGGTGGTGGGGCCGTTTTTCCTGTTTCCTAACCTCATCTCTGACGGGAGTGAGCCAGTCCCCTCTGGTCAAGCTCTCACTGGCCCAGGTCTGGGAGCCATGCGTACAGTCGGGACCCTGAAGAAGGAACCCTTTTGGTTGGGGAGGGGCTCCGCGTTCCTTAAGTGTTTCACAGTTTGCCTCAGGTTTTCCTTATGTTTTCGATAGGAAATCGAAGTTTGATTTATGGAAAAAGGGGCCTCGTTCCTTATGTAGGGTTCCTTAGGTCAACGCCCCGACTGTAGTCGAAGCCCACCCACCATCGCCGCCCTCCAGGGCCGGGTTTGGGACCTGCTCCGTGGCCGGCGTCCGTTGGAGACGTTGCCTTTCCCCGAGGTGTGTCACCGACCTCTCGCGCTCCACAACTCAAACGACGCGAAAATCGGGACAAAATCGGATCGGGATAACTCGAAATCTCTGAGAATCGGCGGGTTTGGAGGATGTATTGGGCGCCGCGGCCGCTCCAGAGCGTTCCGGAACGCTCTGAGAGCGCTCCGGAACGCTCTGGAGCGATTTATCCCGATCCTAGCCCTGTTTTAAAATGTTGTGCGTTCTCGCCATCGTCGGCGATCGAGGATCGTGGATCGAGGTCTTTGGGCGTTTCTGCTTGAGGCGTTTCCAGGGCGCACGCGTGAGCTCCAGGGAGGCTCTGGAGGCCAGGAGGAGCTGCAGCACTTTTGCGGGTGGGGATGAGCAGTGCTACCGTTCTCACGCGTGAGATGTGTGACAGTTCCCAGCGTCGAAAAATCGATCAGTGGTGCTTTTTGGCACAGTATTTGTGACGATCGAAGTGTGCCCCAGCGCAGCCTAGTCGGAGATTTCCTGCCGCCACACACCACGCGTCCACTACGTCCGCTCACTCCTATTTTTCTAAAATTATTCGCCCTTGCGTCGCCGTTATGATGATTGCGCTTGGCGTCCTTCCTCGCGTCCTAGTCATAATCCTTATTGCGCTTTTGTCGCTCGCATCCTCCGTTCTTGTCGAGTGCGTTTGTATTCCTTGTCACCTCTTCCGTAGTAATGCCCCCCATTCCCATCCTTTTTCCCCGCAACTCTTTGCCCAACCTCAGCTACGTTTCCCCTCCGCTGGTGGAGGTACAAACTCAGGGAAGCATACAGCACGCGGGTGTTCCCCTCAGGGAGGCGACAGGGAGGAGGAGGAGGAGGAAGAGGAGGACGAGGAGGAAGATAGCAGGAGAGAGTAATGCCAAGGATGATACTGACTGGTTGATTCATGTTGACCGTGATTTCTTTATACTCCTCCTCCTTCTCCTCCCCTTCCTCCACCTCGTCGTCCTTCTCCATTTCTTTCCTGATATAACTCCTCCCTGTCGCACCCAGAGGCCAGTCGGAGATGCGTGCCAGGCGTTTCGCTTGAGACTGCTTTACCATGTGTGATCCTGAAGCTTCAGAGATGGCAGCAGTTTCACAGATGGAGGGCGGGCTGCTTTCAAAATGTGGCTCTCGGCCTAGCGCCGCGCACATTCGTCTTCAAACGTTGCAAGAGTT